ATGGACCAATTCGAGTGGCTGGTGTCCCAATAAATCGTACAGGACATGGGACATTATGAACACCATTTATATCTATAAAAGCTTTTATTTCATCATCAGTGACAGCATATATACCGAATTCTGCTTTAGGTAATTCTAGCTGAAGTAGTATATCATGTAGAATTATTTTGATATTTGTTTCCAGAACTCTCAGTGGTTCATCCATTTATATGCTGGTTAAGGACTTAGTATTTTATGTGAGGAAAAGAACTTATTACGTATGAAGTTAATCTACAATAGCTATTGTTTTGAGAGCAAATCTCAATTTTTATTTCTATTTATAAACCTTGTAGTGATCTTTTTTTATTATGTGAGTTTTCAAATATGCGTGTTAAAACCCAAAATGTTTTATAATACACATGTCAGACATGTATTATGTTTTATGTATATTGTACAAGTGTACTATAGTGTAAATTGTACAATTTACACGTGTGTGTGCGCGCGCGCGCGTGTGTGTATTTTTGTATTCATTTTTAATTTATTATTTCAATCCTATGTGCTTAGAATATATCATATTAATCCTATGTAGTTGGTATCCCAATAAATTGTATAGGATTTACTATGCTATAGAGTTATGCATTAAAATATGATAAATACTTAAAATAAAAGTTTATTTTATGTAAATCTACATGTATAAGTACATATTTATACAAACAAACATTATTTAATATACATTTTAAAGTTGTAATTGTCTAGGGAAATAAAGTTCGTAATAAAAGCATGAAATTATACACATACATACGTTCATGAACATGTTTGAAAATATTATACATCTAAGCTCCAATAATGCGTTTAGCTTTCCAGCGGAGCTATTGAAATCCTTCTCCCAACATGTATGTGGTCATCTATATGGTCAGTTCTTTGCCTTTCAAAGTTGCAAGGCAACTGTCTACAAGAGACCGTTGTTCCCGCAATTGTGTATAAAATGAATTTTTTTTACCTATGTAATGATTATTGTAAACAATTTGTAGTTTTGAGTTTAATATAAGTTGTAATTGTTAGGTAATAGTAATAAGTTAAAGCATACATACTTATAGTGTGAGCGTAGCCATATGATTAGCGTCATCATTTATCAGTTGTTCAGCAAGAAGACCAAAAAGTGTGATCGGTATGTCACCACTATCGTCAGCAAAAGTGATATGCAGCACAATTCTACAATGTGTATGATTACGCATGCTTAGATATTTAACAGGATAAAGAAAAGCAGTGATTGTATGCTATGTTAATAGTAGTGGTATATTAATTACCGTGGTTCGGACGTACCTACGTGTGGGGAGCTAAAAGCACAACAGTTAAACACCGATCCTCTTTCAATTTCACATCGTTTGTTGTAGACATTGCAAGCATTGTATACTATACTGTTTTTGTTTGTAATGTCAATGGCGCGTCCGACGATCCGTACTGTTTTTCCAGACTTGTACAAAAACAAATGCATGATATAGTTATACAAAACAATATGTTGTTCACTTTAATTTGTATAGCGGAACATACTATGTAATTTACCTCTTGCTTAGATAATTATGAAATTGGAATCATTAATTCGGGTTGCTGAGAACTTTTTGCTATTTCAGTTGCGAATGAATTTCGAAGGATTTGAATTTGGTCCTTATAATTCACCGCCCTATAAAGCAACAATGTTAGGTAAGTAATAATTAATACACAGATATAATCAGTTTGAGAAGCTTTGTTTACCAATCTTGGAGAAGTTGTGCTTCTGGATTACTTGGGTTAATTTTCAGTGTAGAAGAAAGGTTGTGTTGAATGAACCATCTGTAAACATGTGTGCCATAGGTAGTTAATGAAAGTGTACTCATTATTTTATAAATATTTGTTCATATCATATACCGTCGAAAGTTGATTCTTTGATGCGGGAAACTTCTATAACAGGCATCGTGTTTATAATTTCAGCAACAGCTTCGTGTGTAACCAAACTGTTCCACACTGATAACTTAACAGGCTCCATGCTGCCAAAAGTAGAAGAAATTAAATGTTCAATAAGAATAGTTATAATTAAGTTAAAGTACTTCTGTATTGGAAAACCAATTTACGTTATTGTAATATATGCACGTACTTGGAATCTATTATCTCAATTCTACACACTTCATTAGGTAGTCCAGAACTCTTAGAGCAAATGGTTGCTATATCGTGTATGTAAATAGCAATTCCAATGATATCTAGGAAAAAAATAAAACAAAGAACTTAATTATATGTGGATTAATTCATGTGTATTTACGATGCACCTACAGTAATTACAGCATTTTAATAAATAATAAGTAATATTTACCCATTTGATTAGATCTGCCAACAAAATACATAACCCGATTAAGGGGGACAAAGTATGAGCTTGGTTCAGGTTGTTGTCGTGTTTCAGAAATTCTTGTTGCATAATTGATCGTCATCTGGTACAACTGGTTTTCTCTAACAAACATGTCAGGTGTGCGAGTTATGATAGGATTGGTAATGTTGTATTCTCTCTCTTGAACAAGAAGATTATGAAATAGCTCAATATCTCGTTCAAAGATTACAACCTTCATTCTGTGTTTTCTTGAAATTTCAATGTTAAATAATCGTTAAATATGTTAAGATAATTAATATTCTATAAATTGCATATAATATACCTCTGCGTCTTAAAAAATAAGCTGCTGTAATTTGTCGCACCGCCGCGAGATTTTTTAGCTGGGTGCTTCTTTATTAATGTAGCTTTTGTAGTAAAGTTTCGGCTCTCGTCTGTGAGTCTGGCAAGGGGAAGTCGTTGAGTAGCCATTGTGTTGTTCTGCAATATGATTTGAACCTGTCGTTAATGTGTTGTCGGTAAACATTGTGAGCGGTAAAATAACAATATTATTGTATAATGTAGAGTAAAAGGAAAAATAAGCTTGTTAACTTTGTGCTAGTACCATATCTTTAAAAATGGTCTACAATATTCCAGCGCGCTTTAGAATCTCATAACGTACAACATTTTTAGTTTTTTTCCATCCATTTTATTCATCCGCAGTGGGCTTTATCGATATCTGAACATGTTTAATTTTATTAGCACGAGACAATGCAACATATAACTGACCATGTAAAAAAATCAGTTGTGGTAAATATATGCCAACTCTATCAAGTGTTTGACCTTGAGACTTGTTGATGGTCATTGCAAAACTCAGATTGATTAGAAATTGCTTGCGGGTAAATCTGAATGGGTACTTATCTGTAGCCGACGGCTGCAACGGGATACGAGGTATAAACACCCGTTGGCCACAATGATGTCCAACAATAATTTCGACATCAATAACATTAGGGAAAAATGCTCTACATACTAATCTTGTTCCATTGCATAAGCCTGATGTCGGGTCTATATTTCGAAGTAAAATTATTGGACTGCCTACCTTTAAAGTTAAATGATGAGGTGGAAGTCCGGACGGACAAAGGCTATTGAGAAATTCAGTTGGGTATTGTTCGCTCGAATCATCTGTGCAACCGTCAAAACTTCTGTATTCATAAGCTCTTCCTGGCTGTCGTTGGACTAATAGAGAGTTTATTTTTGAAGCATGTTCGTTTTGGGGGGTTAAAATAGCTCTCTTTGTTGCAAAGAAGGATTCAGAAGTCGTATTCGCTATATCAGGGTAGATACTATTTACTAAGAGATGCAGAGATGATTGTTCATTGTCATACGGAAAGACTAATGGTTTAGGTAGCTCTATATTTTTCCTATCTTCATAAGGAGGCATGCCATTTCCGATTTGTAACACAAAGTTACAAAAAGGTAGATCATTAATTGCTCTCATGTTTTGTGTTAAGTGGATTTTCTGGAGCTCATGCCATAAGGGGGACATCACAAAACTCGTTGCAACAACTTCACGCAGACTTCCTTTCGGTACGACAGGTAATACTTGCCGGAAATCACCACCAAATACAACAACCTTTCCTCCAAATTTTTGTTGATTCAATCAGACATCTTGTAGCAATCTGTCAAAGTATTCAATCGTTTGACGTTTTGCCATTGGCGCTTCATCCCATATAATAAGTCTTGCAAGACGAATAAGTTGTCCTAGAGCACTTTGTTTGGAAATACTGGAACTTGGAATCTCGTCAACATCAAGAGGGATTTTGAATCGAGAATTTGCAATTCTACCTCGTTACTGCTAAAACAATCATTCCCTTTGCTTTTACATTAGCAAGTAATGTAGAATACAAAAAGTTTTTTCCTGTACCACCAGGGTCGTCAACGAAGAAAGCAACTGGCTTATTATTCACCACTTTGTTATAGATTGTGTCGTATGCAAGTTTCTGTTCATTATTAAGTAATTCAATTGCATTTATTTCTTCTGGACGTTTGAAGCTCTTCTTCAATTTCTTTCATTCCTATTTCAAAGTCGTCTTCTTCGAGTTCTACTAAGCCAAAATTGTAACAAGGTAACAAATGCTTTTTATTGTTAGTTTGCGAGCCTTTTTTTTGTTTGAAGGGAAATTATGGTTGTAATCTTCAGAAAGATATGGGTTTTTTTTTTTCCCACAAAAAGTTAGGGTCTTCAGGATTGCAATATACTAACAATGTAGCAAATAGTTATCGCAAGGCAAACGACATCTGACTTTGACAAGCTTCTTGTAGGCACTTGTCTATAGAGTCATCTGCTTCCAAGTAAACCTCGTTAAAATGGAAGGTCAGCAAATAATCAAAAGAGGTTGGACCTGCTACGATCGAGGTTGTTTTTTTTGGATGCCATGTATAATGCTGAGGAAATTCTTGATACAACCACCAAAAGTCCAAAAGAATAAACAAAAAAAAATAAACAAAGGTAGTTGGGATATGGAAGGAAATATGGCAAAACAATATATTGTACAGCTACCCTTTTTGCCCAAACTTACTTCTCTTTTTAGAATGTAATAGATATGAATATGACGGCTGCATGTAGAATTTAATAGCATTTCCAAGTTCCAGGACAAAAAAACAACTGCCATGTTTGACAATTAGGAAATGAGAGATTTGGTTGCTCTTATATACATAATCACTTATTTGGAAACGTCATCAAATCTAAAACACTACCATGCTAGTAATACAAACAATTAGTTAGGTCGAAGATAATACCGTTGCCACATAAAATAAAGTCTTCAAATCAATGCCTAGAATAAAGCTCACATAAGCTTTACAAAAACTACATGAATTTGAGGGTATCACTGGTGTTTTATTGAGTTTGATTTAGTCTCAGTTTTGTTTTGCATCCTCCATCAACTTGTAGAGAGCTAATCCGCCATGATGACAACCAGGCATCTTCCATGCTACGCTTTCCAATTCATCCTGTCAGTTCACTATATAATTTAGTACTCCATACTTGCATTGAGCTACACTAACGCCAGCTTACATTACAAAAATAAAGCAAGCAAGACAGTTAGATGCTTGAGGTAGTTGTTATGGCTGTTAGTCCATATGAAGTTATGAATAATCAAAGCTCAAAAATAATAACAGTTCAGAGCCACAAAAATAATTACTAGAGTTAAAATCAAATGGAGATGATCACGATCCAAGTAAATATGAGTAAATAACCTTTGAAATTGTACAAAGTTGAGTGGACTCAAAGCCATCTTGAGCTGAACTGTATAACTTCTCAATATCTTTTGACTGAAGTGAGCACTTCATAAAAAAGAAAGCAGTAGGTCGCACATTCAGTTCCCTTCTTGATATACCAATGAAAACTGGGTTGGACTGCATTAGAAAAGAAGGATTTATCATCAATAATAGCACTAAAGAGGAGCTCTTAACCATAAATGAAACCCATACACGTATTATGCTTAGTTCTAGAGCAAATGACCACAAAAAATCTTGTCAGCAGGGTTAATCCAATGTGCAAACAGAGCTAAGACGGGGCAAATACCTGACAAAGCTCTCATAAAAGTATATAACCATTGCCTTAAAAGCTTATTGCGAGGTTCATGCTCAAGGCAAGGAGTTTGTGAGTGGGGATCAGATGTATATAAGCTTCACAAGTTAACAGCAGAGAAGCTTCCCAAGACACCAAAATAATCACAAGAGACTCCAGCAATGTACAACCAAAACAGCAGAGAAGAACTTCAACTCACCAAAGATATGGCTGGCACTCCAGTTTCTTCTACTACTTCACGAACAATACTATCAAACATCTCCATAGAAACTCTTCTACTCAAGGATTCAGGATCCAAATTGTCATGAGATATAATTCCAACCTCTTCGGGCTGTAAAAGATGAATGAGAAAAAATATATAAAATAAATAAATAGAACAGATCAATAGTTACAAGGGATGATAAGATGACTACTTTGGTGATTAATGCAAATTGGTAGCAGGATCATATTTTACAATACATCAACAACTCTACAAGACTAGGCGGCCACGGAGCACCTTTATGTAAACGAAGTACTTCTTAAAAGCCATATTATTACATTCTGGTCAGAGAAGATGAAGGCAACAACCATTTCATAGAAATTGCAGGAATTCAACAGTCAACCAGTAGCTGCACATGCTCATGTGCGTATTCGTGTGAAAGTGCATGTGCAAAAGTATCTTTTTATATGCGGGTGGGGGACTGGGGGGAGGGGAGTGAGAAGCAACTCAATGAAAAAAAAAAGCATATGCTGCAGTAATCATAAGATTTAAATCTTTGAGAATCTCTGATAAGTGCAATTACCTCTGGATGACCACCAGGGAAAACAAAATGACCGGGAAATTCCCCCACATTATTACTTCGTTTCAGCACAAGAATCTTTCCATCAGAAGTCTCTACAATTCCACCATTACCTAGTGGATTTGAAGTGTGTTGACATCGTATAGTTTCATCTATAAAAAGCCATATGCCAATAGTAATTTAGCATTCACCCGAAAGATGGACTTATTTTTTAAAAAAAGGATACAGCAAACTGTGTACATTCACAGTAATCAATCAATACAGCAATTAGGAAAAAGAAAAGGTCGATATATTGGAAGAAGGCATTTATAATAATTGGAAGTCACAAGTTCAACTCAATCATCACCAGGACAAGCTTCAACTAGAGCAACAAAGCAGTCAAGCACACTTCAAACATACAGTAAGTTGGTTATTGCTTGTAGAAATAACGAACATAAGAACATCTTTTTTAATCAATTATTTCAACTAGCTAGAACAACAAGCATCAGCTCTATCAAACATACAGTATGTCGGTTATTGCTTGTAGAAATATGTCCAGATATTCCCAAGTGACATTTGGAAACATCTAAGGAAGCATAATATCTGCACAGGATATGGTGTTTAACAAGAGTCTTGTTCCAATTTAATATTACATAGATCTTTAGCAGTAAAATTGCATTCACTTATGAAACAAATTGCAGCATTAAGGAATTTAAGATTGATAAGCTACCTTCTGATTGAACTAGAAACTTTTCCCATAATGGATTTAGGTTTGTTCCCATGAAAGTCCTAAATAAAAGTAAGCAACAATTCTCATTAGTCAAACAATAAACTATCAGAGGAAAACGTTCACATACAAAACTACAGATGGGTACACCACAACAAACTTATCGAGAAAGGGGGGCAGTAACTGCAGGGCAGGGTTTGGAGAAAGACTGAAAGTTTGACTACATCATCATATGAAACAACATTGCTAACAATGATGCAAATTCAAAGAGCCAGACATAAGGAAAAACCACACAGCAAATTGCTCAAGTAAAATTTTTTAATGAACTAGTAACACATACAAAGTAGGAGAAAGCCAACAGCCTTATACAAATAATCTCTCATGAAAATCATGATGAAATCTTATACCCCATCACAGGGATAGTCCTTTCTGAGGACCACTAGAGCAACTGAAAAATTTAAAGATGAGAAATGGAATAACGAGCATGTCTAATCCAATTTGCGAGTATATGCAGACATGCAGTGACAAGTTCAACACATAATTGACATTCATGACATCCAAACTTCAGAAGTAAAAGTCATCAGAAAGAAAGATATAGACCTGTAATCTGTCAAACCAAGGTGCAAGTTCAAGTAACAATTGCTCTTACAATCAACACCACCAGTACTATGAAAGGCATGTCCACCATACTGTACAATCAGTTCTGTAAAGTTACTAGAAAATTCGCGCATTTGAAAACCATTCATGCATCACAAAAAATAAAAAGAATAAAAACCCAAGAAGACAAAGGAAAAGGAATCCTAACATCATAACTACGAACGAATAATTGTTCCTACTCTAAAAGGAAATATATGCCCTTCCAAGAGTGAACATACTCTGAACTTCTTCCCATTATACAATGACGAATTTTGTTGAGCTCTTTGATCCCATATCTACCAAAATACATCAAAACAGAATAAAATTTATTAAAGACTAAGCTCATAAGCATAATATCTCACATAACACAATATAGAAATACAATTACACATATAAAGTAATCCATATTGTTTACTTCCATTTTTAGCTAGTGCTAGAGTGAATTGTACGAGCTTAATTCTAGTTCAAAATAACGATAAAAAAGCGAATAATAATACTAATAACCTGATCAATCGATTTTTCAAGGTCGAAATCTGGATGCGGGATACGATCATACAATTTGTCAAAAATCACTGACACCTTCATACATTCATCCAACCAAAACAAAATCAATTAAATTGGTTTAATTATTGCGCAATGCTACATAACTAGTACTCCGTAGTTGAGGAATAATTCAAGATTAATTAGGGTTTGTTCCTGAATATTGAATAAAGAGGAGAGAGAAAAGGGGAATATACCTGAGAAGGAAGGAGACCAGATGGGCAGGAAAGCATGAGCTTGTATGGAAGACGAGAGGTGACGTCATAGTTGCCAATTTCCGCCATTGCTGTAAATCGAGAGAGGAGAGAGAAAGAGGGAAATCCGAGCAGGGAAAGTGTGGGAAATGGCTCATTTAAAGCCACCACGTGACAAGCACGTGATTAGTGTGGGACACTAATCTAGGATGATCTAGCAGGTCTCACATTAGTTCTTAATAGGACTTCAGAGAAAGTGAAATTAACTGGGAGAAATCTACCATGAAATCAATTCTCCAATAAATCCAAACTTAACCTTTATAAAAGAAAGGTTTTAGAGTTCATCATAATAGAGCATTACAAAGAAAAACAATTAGAAGGTAACAAGCAGTAATATTTACAACTAAAACTACACAACAGTGTGTTAATTTTAACAAGACTAGTATTTTATATGACCAATGAAACATGTGATATACTCCGTATTTCATAAAGTCAAAAACATAAAACTCATTCAAACAACTTATTAACACAAAAGCATAGAAACAGGCAAACAATCCATAGTTAAAGAAACAAAGTCACTGAGAAAACATAATCTAAACCAACATCATCATTTCAACAAGAAAGTGAGGCTTATATACACACCTAAGATGTACGAGCTTTCGTAAAGAAATAGATACATGTACCAAACAGACACGAAAAATGTCAATCATAAAAAAAGGAACATGAATACGACAAATTACAATGCATACAATATATCAAAAAAGTAAATAAATTGATAACCAATTTTTGAAACACTAAATAACTGACATCAAATCTTACCATTAATCTAAAACAAGTAAACAAAGTGCCACGAGCATCGTCGCATACACAAATAAAAGGATTTAGTTTAAGTCCTAAAAATCATGAAACTAAACACTTACAAATAATCAAATATCACTTGGTTAATCAGAATATAAAATAACATTAAAAAAAGCATAGTTTCAAATAATAACATGTCACTTGGTTATTCAGAATAATCATAATCACTACATCACTAATCAAGTAATCAACCCCAAATAATCAAAATCAAGCTACAGTTTATACATTAAATTAACAATCATCAAATTAAGGCAAAAGTTATATACATAAAAAAAAAAAAAAAAAAAAAACAATTTCCAGCAGCAATTAAATAGAAGTATATAATAATGAGACTAATTATAATAAATAAAACTATGAAAACCTGGAATTTGAAATTTAGAAATTATAACTCCTCCAAAACAGAAGAAGATATGAAGATGAAGGGAAGATTTATTGAGGCAGCAGCAGTGAGAGGGTCGTTGGTAAGAACACCGGTAGGTGCGGCGCCAATCAGAATGAGAGGGTTTAAGAGAAGTGAGGGACTGAGAATGGGTGTGGTGGACTAGCGTTGAGAATGAATGAAAGAACCAAAAGAATAGTACAACAGGGTTTCATAATTCGAAAACAAAAAAAAAAAAAACCGATATGCCAAGGTGGCATGTCCAAGATGTATCTTCCTATGAGGCAATTTAAAGGGAGTATAACACTGCATTTGCTAGTGCATAATAAAGGGCATTTATGAAAATATGTAATGCACATTTCCGAAATTTAGAGTAGTATCTTATCATTGGATTGTCAAATAATACCACTGAACATTAAATAATACTTTATGCATATAGTAGTACTATACATGTATTTAATGGTATTAAATTTATGCATAAATAATATCACTGAAGATCCAATAATATTATACAAGCTTTCAGAATTAGCATGTGATCCCCGTCACGTGATGGCAATCTGACCAAAGAGGTCCACCTACATACCTTCTTTTCCTATCTCTCTCCTCTTTTCTCTCTCTACCATGCGTTTGTAGAATATTTTAATCATTGTTATGTATTTGCAAATATATAACAAAACTCCATTACTACTTCTTCATCTTCCTATCTCCCCTGGAGTGTCCAAATCAAACACCAACAATCCTGAGTGACGTGTCCATGCATCCTAGATATACACCACCCTTGACAAAAAAAAAAAAAAAAAGATATACACCACCATCAAATCATAGTGCTGGTATGTGTTTCTAATTAGCTACCACGGTTTATGGCAACTGTTCTCTATTAACCTTCAAAACTTGAAATCCCCTCACAAAGTGTGAGTATCTTGATAAAAGAGATCTCTTTCACTTCTTACTAGATACAACTTGGTAACATCACAGCACTATATTGTTTTAAGTAGAATATCTAATAGCATTGTCTGTACCTATAGCAGTATCTTTGACTCCATAGTCTTGAGATAAATTGTGATTTGTTGTAGTATCTCCATCCTCATCATGAAAGAATCCTCGCAAGAGAGTTCCTTTGCTTTTAAAAACTCATCATAATGAGCTTGCCTATGCTGTCTGAAAATCACATTCCTCCCCGATTCAGAAACTTCACCATCCTCCACTATATCATCTCCTTCATCCTCGGAAGATGAGTGTTCTTTCCATTTAGAGAAGCAGCATGATGAACGACCTCACAATTTTCAATATCATCTATAAAATTATCAAAAGTACCTTGCATTGGTGACCCAGAACCATCATTATCAATCGAGCGATGAAACGGCGTCTTCGGCTCAGTGATCTTTTGCCTTGTAGGTTTATTTTTCTCAATTTCCTCCAAGTTATCCTCGTCCCACCTTACACATGTCCTCTGTCTCCCATTCCTCTACTTCACTGCTCTCCTTGCAATCTTATAAGGAAAAAAATGCAGCTCAATCAACCGGAAGAAAATGCTAATAGAATCTCCAATCATAACTCATAAGCGTATATTAAAGCCTCAGAGTCGAATTTGCCAGTGCGCACAAAATAATTCTTCCGATTGTTTTGTTAGTTCGATACAACTACGACATGATGTATTCCATCCAATTCTATATTTCATTTATAAGCAACTCGCGATATTCCATCCGACTAAATAGTTTATTTACAAGCAATTCGCGATACTTCATCCAGCTAAATAGTTCATTTACAAGCAATTTGCGATACTTCATCTAACTAAATTGTACATTTACATAATCCGTGGTTTATACACACGGGTGTACAGTGCTCATCGTACACCCGGATAAATAAAAAAAAGGCGGAAAGAACATCCTGTGTTTCATAAAGAACATACATGTATTTGACAAAGAACATGTTTGTATTTGACAAAAACATGCATTACCAAAGAACATAAAGATATAATAAAAAGAACGAGATAAAAACTTGATAAAATTTTCTGAAAAATTACACATTATTAACGGGAAAAATTTAGAGGTGATAAAAAATCGAGTAGGGCCGGGCCATATCATAATTTCTTGTGCCCAAACCCGTAGAAAAGTAGCGGGTTTTCGGGCTTTTTTCGAACCCGGTTCGAGTTTTAACTAAAAATGTATTTTTAGGTTTGCCCAAACCCACCCTATTTCGGGCCGGATCGGGTCGGGATGCGAGTCATGCCAATGTTGATCACCCCTTAAAAAATCCTTACCAAAGATATCATTTCCCCAAAAAAAAAATTCAACTTCCCATAATAATTTAGTTTTTTTTTTTACTCTAACATTATTTTCAATTAAAAATAATTTAAGATTTCAATATCAAATTTCAAAATACCATATGTTAAAAGAACATAATTTATATTGTAAAGTACATATAGTTAATACCTAAATAACACACTAATCAAACTCAAAGAATATACGATAATAAAAGTAATTTAAATATGACATATGATAATAAAAAATAGAATTTGGGAGTCACTACGACCTTAAAGAACATACACGCCAAATTCAAAGAACATACTTTGTATTATTAAACCCAAAAAAAATATATGTTTATCAACATATGTTAAATAACATAAGTTATAATATAAAGAACATATAATTTTACTCAAAGAACACACTGATCACACTAAAAAAAACATATTAAAGGTATGTTCTTTGTCAAACATAGGTATGTTCTTTATCAAACACTATATGTTCTTTCCGCCTTTTTTTGTTTACCCGGGTGCACCATGAGCATGGTGCACCCGGGTGTATTATCTAATTTTCACATTTACAAGCAATTCGCAATACGATTTCATTCTACTGGTTCGATATATTACTCCTTCCATGCTAAGTAACGCTATTATTAAGGTTAGAGTTCAAATATAGACTAAACGCGAAAAACGTCAAAAGAATCTTCCACTGGAATTGCAATTCATAATCAAAAGCATAGATCAGATTATCTATCAGCAACAATGAAATTGCAATTCTCCAATAGATGAATGACCAATAGCAGAATTTATCATACACAAATAAAATTTATCAGATAATCAAACAACTTCCACAAATTCAACATAATCCAATGGCAATAAACAACAAATTATGTCATATTCGAAGAAAATTACCCAAATGAATCAAAACTATAAAATTATCACAAAAAATTAAATTCACAATTCATCTGATTATTGCAAATTAATCAACAAAAATAAAATTAAAAAAAAGTACCTGAAAATTGAAGATGATAGCTGCTGGAAAACGACGATAAAGAGCAGAAATTAGGGTTTAAGATGGATCGTAGTGAGAAATGGAGAAGTTTGGGGTTTAAGGGGCCGTTTAGTTAGGGATATTCAACAAAGGGAATAGGAATCAACGGGAATCATTCCCTTTGTTGTTGTTTGTAAGGCCACTTTTCCAATCCCCTTTACCCCTTCATTCCCCACCCTCCTAGCCTTTTCCATTCCCTTTCCTTGCCAGCATTACACCACTGTGTCTACACCAGGCACCACCCTTCTACCTTACCCCCACAGCACAACCACCACCCAGCCACCTCACCGCTTTTCCCCCGGACATCGCCGTCCCTTCTCCGCCACTCGCCGACCTTCGGTTAGCTCGCACCTCACTCGAAAATCTTCCCCAACCCCTCGTCGGAACTCATTGCCCCTATTTGCACCTCCCTCACTCCTTGCCGGATCGGAGGTTGTCGCACCTCCCCCATCCCTCGAAAATCACCCAGCAACACCAGAATCGCCAACTCTTACCCAGAAACCCCACCCATGCCCCTCCTCCGATCACCCATCCGGCCACCTTCCTTGTTCTTGGAACCCCAATTTGAAACCCAAAGAAAGCCCTAACCCAGAAATGAGAGATGAAGATCCATGGAAACCAATTTGGGGCTAGACGATTTAGGGTTTGCGAAAACGAATCTCAGGGACTCACAAATCGATTTCGGGGAATTGAAAACGATTGAAGAACGAAATTTTCAGGGAGAACGAATTGAAGAACAATTTTCAGATGGTAAGAAAATCGATTGAAGAACGACATTCGTGTGTGGTGGTGTTGGTGGTGGTGCTGTGGTGGTGTTGGTGGTGGTGCTATGGTGGAGGTGATTCCCTTTATATTTTTAAAACAAACAACACACCACATGGAATGGTTTTTCATTCCATTCTCTTTTATTTTCTTTGTTCATTCCATTCCGATTTCCCTACGCGAACCAAACGGCTCCTAATTGTTTAACAACTGTTTTATTCAGAAAGGTTTCACAACTTTATTTGCCGATGAAAGTCGATACCCGAATCTATAATCAAGTGGCAAAATTGGGCTTTAGATTTTTATTTACATTGGACTTTTACTTTGTTTTGGCCCTAATGAAGCCCACTAATGCCCAACAATCAAGACATCCTCAAACTGTTCAGCAATCAAGGTATCAACTATTAAGCACATAGATAACATGGACTAAACTAACATGAAATTATCTAACAAATTTAAATAAGTAAAAATTAGGTAAATTGATTGTACAGTAATAAGGAATATCATTATGGCAACGTTTAATTTACCGTTAAAATAAGTGTTCAATAAGTTTATATAAAAATTAGATAAGTTCATGTTAGTTTAGCCTATTTCATGTTAATAATTCCACTTATTCAAAGAAAAAAAAATCACATAAATTTGGATATTGTAAGTTCATGAAAATAAACTCAAAAAATTTAGTTAGTGTTAATAAAAGTTATCCAATTTCATATTTACAACTAAAATCAGTTCACATAAATGAAATTCAGATGAAGAGTATGCATCCTAAGTTTTAATCATACTCGTATTTTAGTAAAGGATTGTTTTTATTTTTTAAGATCAACAATATTATAATCTTGTTCACTTTCTTTTCTTTTATCTATTTTTTCAACAAAAAGAGAAAGGCAAAGAAGAGGCTAGTATTTTGGGTACAGTTGGTAGTGATTCTTTGTGCCTCATGTTGATGTGAGGCTATTCATTGAAAAAAGCCTAACACAAGCCCATAATTTTTGATATAGTGACGTGTACCTACTCTGCTTTGTTGCAAAGTGGGGCGAGATGTCCGTGAAATTCTAATAACCACCACCTCACATCTAGGGGTGTACACCGGTCCAAAACCGGACCGGACCTGGACCGGATCTGTTTGGACCGGGGACCTGAATTGGGTAATTATGAGGACCGGGGACCGGACCTGAATTAACAGGTCCGGTTCCGGGCCAGACCTGAAAAATCAGGTCCGGTCCGGGTTTGGACCTGAATGGACCTGTTTTGTGTCTTTTTCGTTTTTTTTAATACAAAACCTGTTGGACCTGCATATGGACCTGCATATGGACCTGTTTTGTGATTTTTAGACCTGTTGCATAATTTAATAATTACATACAAACCAAAATTATCAATTACAAAACTACATAAAGTCTATAAAGTCCCGATTCTCAAACACCAAAAATACAAATGAGTCCACCGAAAATACAAATAAGTCCACGAAAACTCAGTTTCAATTTTTCAGAGTTTGGTTTTCTTCTTCTTTTTTTTTTTTTTTTTTTTTTTTTTTTTTTTTTTAATTACGATTTTCCCGGGTTTCAGGTCCGGACCTGAAAACCCCGGGTTTGGACCGGGTCCGGACCGGGACCGGGAACCTGGATTTTTAAGAACCGGGACCGGACTTGAATCAACAGGTCCGGGTTAGGTCCGGTCCGGTTCAGGTCGGTTCAGGTCCGGTTTCAGGTTCGGGCCAATTTTTGTACACCCCTACTCACATCATGTATCCTTATTATTCTTACTCACTATATTAATAGCTTAAATTATCTAGGATTAAACGATTGTGCCTGATGATTTAAGACATTGTCTACAAAGTCAAACCCAAATTTTTAATCTCATGGTCAAGATAACACAAGAATAATAAAACCCAACTTGCTTAAATTAGCAATTACTGCATTGATTGAACCAAGAAATTCCAAAAGATTGTTGGATCTAATTGAATAAACATTCTGACCCAGCTTAATCACCAGCTAGCCAGGGCAGCCAACCATTTCAAGGTATAACTATTTTTGTGGCTTTGCATTACCATAAATATACCAAAGCACATTCTACAGTTGTATTATAAAGCGACCTATACCAAACTAATAATACTATCACCGATATATTTGCTGCTATTAATTAAAATTATTTACTCTTTTGAATGAGATCGATGGTAGTAAAAGTTAATCAATCAAGACAATGGACTTAAACTAGTTTAACGTTTGTAAAATTATTCCCTCGGCTGGCTAGAAACCTAGAAATTTGAACTTTCAACCATTAAAATTGTTGATTGTACACGGTCATATTTACGGACTGTATATCTCCTAAATTGCTACTTCATCTATATTTCTCACTTATTACTTACGAGTATAAGTTAATACACATTAAGCTCCTAATCTATAAGATCTATGACACAATACTTCATCATAATGAATATTTATTTATCTTTTTTCCTTTTTGGAAACCTACTCTAATCGATAAGAGTTTGGAAGTGGACATTTATTGAGCTACAAGCATGCAAGCAAATAGTACAATATTTTGACTAGAGATGAGAAACTATAGCAATATATAGTTGCTTCTAGACTGTTCGAGGATAATAAAGATATAGCCATTTAATATGGATAGTAATTCAAACATGTTGAATTAGATTGAAACTTTTCCAATGAATTGTATTATCAAGTTTACTACTAACGTAATTCGTACATGGAGAAGTGATCGGCTTATTCAAAGGGCCGGGACATGTTACTGATGAAACTAACATATATAGGGTGACTTTAACAAGTACGAAGTAATTAATTACCTATGTACATAGTTATCATCATGTCAGTAATAGATATAGTCAAATTAAATTATAAAATTTACCAGGCCACCTAATTTGAACTCAATCAATCAATGCATATAGTAATTAATACTTTTGAATGGGTTCTACTAAATGATTTATTGTGAACTCATACAATATTATAATTAAATAATTTTTATATGATAACTACATTCTAGCCGTATGCGAATATACATGAGAAAAATTAAACTCGGTAGAAAATGAGATTAAAAGGCATAAACCTTTATAAAGTAATTGAGGCCGGAGTTGTCTCTTATTCTCTCTTTATTATCAATTGATTTTGAATGAAAAGTTGTTTGAGTTTGTAACTTGTGCATTTGATTGTAACATTTTAACATATGCTATATCCTACATGTGTATGTGTTATTTTATTTTATTTTTTTGGTGCAATGTGTGTGTTAATATATTGAGATAATTGTACGTGAAATTTTTCAACTTTTTGTGAAGATGACAATGGTGTACAGCCTGTTATGATTTAAACCACAGTAAATGATCCATTTCCATATAGCGTAGGACATTGTGTGCAGTACTTAAAGGTGTATACCTTTATTAAGCAACACAATTTATTGTATTGGCATTCAGTAATAAATAACTAATAATGTAATAATTATAAGTGCACAATGACAAAGTTTATAAAGTACCATATAATAAAAGAATTACGGAGTTCATTATGTTCCATTCATTCTCTAGCTAAAAAGTTATACATGAAAGATTATAAAAAAAAATTATAAAGGCTTCAGAATTTATGAAGCATTATTATATTAAATAAATACGAGAAAAATACATCAACTAACCAAAAAAAAATAACAATAATTTAACAACTATTACCTTTAATTTCAAAAAAGAAAAAAAGGGAAGTATTAAATTGCCGAATGAGTAGCTGAGTGCCCTTATATAATTAGTATCACCCCCAATTTTTTTTTGAAGTATATACCTTAATTAGGCAATAGTTTTTGATAGGTATTGAATAATGATGAAAAATGAAAAAATTACCAAAAAAATTAAGAATAAATAATAATTTCATTTCCTTGAACATAAAAAATATATATAGGGCCAAGGTGGTATAAATATATATATATATATATATATATATATATATATATATATATATATATATATATATATATATATATATATATATATATTGTTCAATTCATTTTTTCTTGGTAATAATTCATTTTTTCTTCATAATCCTCTGGAAAAGTACTAGTGTCTTCATTTTGGATCCAACCAAACATCTCCAAGTAAGGATTAGCCAAACTCTTAGGAGGATAGTCTTCAATAAAATCCTTCCAAACATTGTCACACCCATCTAAGTCTCTCACCACTTCCCACAGACAACTATTACACTTAAACCCTGCCCCAAAGCTAACCATCAACACCCTATCCCCCTTTTTGAGCCTCTTTTTGGACTCCATGTACCCTAAAACATACCATAAGCTACCCGCCGACGTGTTCCCAAACCGGTGGAGGGTCATCCTCGCTGGCTCGAGATCGTACTCACTTAACTTTAGATTCTCCCCTAAACCGTCTATAACGGCTTTACCACCCGTGTGAATACAAAAATGTTCTACTCCCGTCCTAAAATTAATACTTGGTTTATTATTTCGTTCCCCTGCACCTATACCTGCTTGCTTGTTAGGTCCAGAGAAAAATCTCCGGACCATAACAGCAACCACAAATCGAACCACTTCCTTAGTTGGCAAGATCTTCGGGGCCAACTCCTTAAGATTATCAACCAAACATCGAGCCGCGGATTTAGGAAGGTTTTTGCTAAGGTGAAACCCTAGCCTCCCTACGGAATCCTCCATTTGCATGCAACATCCGTACGAGTCATCTCTACCCCCATGATGTGTCCGTACAAGACATTTGAGCTTCAACATAGCCTTCTTCCTTAAACCCCATTTATTGGTCAAGAGAATCGCGCTACCACCCGACCTAAATAGACAATTTGACAATATCATGGATCGGTCATTACCCGTGTACCAATTCGAGCTTAATGATTCCGATGTGACAACCAAAGCGTAACGCTCTTTTTCGTGTTTAAACACACTTTGAACAATGCTTATTGAAATTAAGCTAGCACTACACCCCATCCCACTAAGGTTGTACACCTTAACATCATCCCTCATTTTGTAATGGTTCACTATTCTTGAGGCCAAGGATGGTACGGCCGCAAACATCGACACATTTACGACTAAAACGTCGATTTCTTGAGGAGAAATTTTGGATTTAGAGAGGAGTTTTTCGACACTATCTTGAAAAAACTCGTCCATTTCTTCTAGGCTATCTTTAATTGTTGGACATTCTTCTTTGCCCTTAAGGATGTTTCTTGGGGCATACGTTTGCTCCCCAATGCCGGAGCTAACGACCGCCTTTAGAAGAAACTTGTACTCATTAATGCCCAAGTTTTTGTTCCGGGCAAGGATTTCACCGGAGAATTGTGAACTTACTTTCCGATCATCTGTCGGTTTAAAGCATTCATAGCTTAAAATGTAACAATCTTGGTGTCTTTTAATAAGTGCCCATTTTAGAAAATGGATGAGGAAAAAAAGAGAAGGGAAAAGAAGTAGTAAGATGAAGAATCCCATATTTGAAAAAAAAAAAAAATTATTTTTGGTTTGAGAGGAAGCTAAAGAATAATTGTATTTTTTTGTGGGATGTAAAGCTAAGAAGAAATGATGGAGGCATTTAAATTAAAGATTTGTAAACTTAGAAATCTAATAAATATAATTGGCCAAACCAACTTTTACCAACTAATTATGTGCATGAATTAGGTCACAAAAGAAGGTTCAGACATGTGATTGAAGAAGAAGCTAGTTAATTATAACTTATACAAGTAAGACTCATCAAAAGGTAGGGACCTTCTTTATTTCTTCTTCTTCTTTATATATGGAGTAATTAATTTATTTATCTTTTATTTTTTTTATTGAGGTATCATACAGAAGGACCATCTTTAAACCCTCATTTCTTTTTGATGGCCATTGTCTTTGCCTCATTGCTTTTAAAGATATCCAAACTCGGATACGCTTTATAATAACCATAAATATTATTAATTAGGGGAATTATTTACTTTTTGAAATAGACAATTTATCTACTTGTATTGAAATTCATCATATCGATCTTTCAAAAAAAAAAAAAAAAAAATCTTCATATCGACATTTACAATTAATTTATTGTGTAAATTAATAAAATTGTCCTTTGGGTTAACTTCAACTATTAGTACATAGATCTTTTGTCCCATTTTTATATTATTATTTCATTCTATTCTTACAAGGGGGTATATCGTTATATTACAGTTATAAGATATATTGTATTTAAAATTTGGGACATCCTATGGAAGAGAAGGAGATGAAGTGACTTGTACTATGTTAACTCCTATTAGTGGATATGCTTTGTTATAGAAATTTGTTATCAATTGATTCAATTCTATCCGATAATTTGAAGTTTCTTGTAAATTAATGTTTTAAATATTTGTGACAGTTGGGAGTACATTCCATTCTTTTATTAGGGAAAGAATCAATTTAATGATCAACTATTTTTAAATTTTGGTCTACCGTCTATCTATAAAATTCCGAAAATGGGTTTTGCGTAAAGAAGTAATATAAAAAGGAAGAAAAAAAGGATACAAAAGTGACCAAGAGTTTTGGAGTATATTATAAGGAGTAATATTGAAGATAATGTAGTGCAAGTTAGAAAAAAAAAATATATATATATGAATTTGACTTTATTTGTATCCTCGGCAGAGAAATAATGTGACAAATGAACGAATATATCCAAGAATTTATTTTGAGCATTTTATATACAAGTATATAAAAATAGAATTTTTTGGAACAACTTGATCCATTTGGACAGTGATCGATAACCTCTTTTTAAATCAACAAAATTCATTATTGGTATAAATCAATATACTCCGTGTATTTTAAATTTAATAAATTAGATGAATATAACATGCTTCCTATATTATTCAATTCGAATATATAAGGGACATAACGAAATTAAATGGTAAATGATCGAGAAATATATGCTTTTGCTACAAAAGTTTGCCTACACATCCAACCCATAGTTAGACTTAGACGGAACTAAGCTAACAAGGTCCAAATCAATTACAAATCTAAAGTGGAATATTAATACTCCAATGGCTATTGATTCTTATGTTGTCAATAATAATGAAATTAATTGTAATGAATGTGAGAGTAAACTGATAGGCGTGATAGCAATTTTTAAAATTATTAATACTTTGTAGTGTATAATGTAGATACGGATACAATCTAAATAGAATATACCAAAAAAATAAGGCTGGGAACACGAGGAGCCGGAGGGAGTACCTTTTACACGTATATAAAAATAATGAAATCACAATAAAGTCATAGTTTGCCATAGTTGGTGATGAAACTAACATCATTTTCAATTATAATTTACTAAGTTAGTGATCGAGCTAGTGATAGGAAAGTTCTATTTGTAGAGTGTTACATAAAGTTTAACATACAGAAAAGTGGAAAATAATAAATTTAAAGAAAAGGCAACAACTATTAACAGAGCTCTTTCATTGGCATGGTAGGTTTTCCCTGATTCGTGTTTTACTAGTACACTAAAAATTGTTCATTTAATGTTATCTATGGTAGAAGGAGGTGTGCAATTAATGATTTAATTATTAGTACAGCAAAGTATTTATTATTTATATTTTTTTTTTTACCCTTTGACAGTCTTCAAATTTTGGTCAGGTGAATTTTAATTAGAACAATGAATTCTTGATTGCAAGAACTAGTATAAGGAAGTCTGAACACTTTATTTTGCAGGTGAACTTTAATGGAAGCTGGTTTCTAATTTGATACGGAATTGGAGTACTTACTCTATATCTTAATACAACATTTATATATTTTACTTTTATCATTAATACATAAATTTAACTACTTTGTCGTATTCTCAATAAGAGGATACTAATATAATAAAGAAGTTGACATTTTGAAATTTTAGTTTGAGGCAAATAACAAGATCTCACACAATTATGTTTTGCGTTAAATTTATTTTATATAATCAAAGTGAGGTATTTAAAGTTTGCAAAATATTGAGATAAGGAAGAACTGTGTTTTATATATACAGGTTATATACTCCATATTATCCATGATATGAGACATCATAATTAATGTTACCTCTGTCTCAAATTACAATCCTTAATAAAATATTTAGTCCTAAGAAACCTGTAACTAAAACTTAAGCCACAACATATTACAGCTAAGACAAATTCAAAGCTAATCGGTTGTACCTAAATGTTTACCCATCATCAAATATGTATGATATGCCATTAGATGCACAAAACATCATCCATGCACGAATTGCCAAGTGCCTACTTCAATTCAATTGATCATAAAAATGGTATGATTAATTACTAACAATATAATTACGTAGCATTCAATAATTTTGGTTAGAAAAAATGCTTGGCCTATTAGTTACTTGTACAAAACATGTGCAATTAACTTCAAATTCTGATTTCAATATATATATCACTAAAAAATCGTATTTTTAAATAATAATTATTACACTATAATTTAAAATGTCACCTAAACAAAGACCAGATAATCTCCATTAAGTGAATACTAATGATGATGCTGACGGACCAAAAGAAGAGGACGTCGACTACGTCGTTGAAGAACTGGATTTTCTTTTCTAGCATGTAACGTCATTTCAACTCTTTCAATAGAAGGTGAAACAACGTCGTCCTCTTCATAACCATCCAATAAATCTAATAAGTAATTTTCCAAATCTTCAGGGGTAAATTTGACTACAGAATCTATTTTTCCTTTCTCCCTACTCTTTGCTAAAACCACTTTATATTTATCATACATCTTTCGATATCTCGCGTCAACTTTCCTAATAATTGAATTTTTCATCTCATCTCTTAGTTTTGAATCCTGTACAACCCATTCCACCTGCTTACGATACTCCTCCTCAAAATCAACATTAAATCTCTTAAAACATTCTTTGACTTTATCAAGAGAAATCTCCACCGTTAGATCTTTTGGTAATGAAGATATCACTCTACCCCACCCCATCCTTTCATAGTTAGCAGCATATTGTACCACTTTAGAGGAATGTTTGTTTACCCATTTTTCCCCTAACACGTTATATAGTTTGGTAGACTTTACTTTTGTTACAACATATTGAAGATTATTTGCTAAGAAAAGGTATGAAAGAGATGCATCTTTGTAAAGCTCCGACTTACTATCTAGCTTACCAAGTAATATCAATATTAACCAAGCAAAATGTAATGCCACGGGAGACGACATTTTTTCACCTTCAAAATAACTTTCTGGTAACGGTGATTGCAGGCTTACTGGATAATCTGCGAGAACTTTATCCAATGCAGAGGCATGGTTAGAAAGATTGACCATGTAGTTCATTTCATATTTGGTCAGGGGGTGGATCCCACCTTCAGAGACTACGCCCTTTGAGGAGTCTTTATACACATGTGCCTCAAAATCTGCTTCCATTGATTTCACGGCTTCAGTTACTCGTCCTATAGAGGACCTCAGTTGTGATCGAACAACTGAGGTGAACTCTGACGAGAAAATCTTTTCGATTTCCGAGGTATTCTTGGACATCCCCTCGTAGAGGATTAGGAACTTGAAGATTTTATCAGGAGATTTCTTTGCGTGTTTTGCAAGTTTTCCAGGGATTCGAAGTAAAATTAGGACAGACTCTTTACAAACATCCGAAAAACATGATTCTGTAACGGATGGCAAGGTACACGCAGAAAAGAGATGTTCACAAAGATTCTTCTCATGGGAAAATATTTTCACACAAATTTTTATAGAATTCAACCATTTAGTCATTTTAGCATCAATAGTCTCCCAATCTAGTTTCTGAACTTGTGATTTCTTCAACTTACGTGCACCTAGCTTAAGTAGGGCATCCTCGACGAAAGACCGCCTCGTAAGCTTATATATCTTAAGGCATTTCTTCCCAAACCCGGCACTCATCATGCAATCCGCGATCAACTTAAGGTCGGCCATAGTTGACGCCTCCTCCGTGGTCGAGTCTTCATGATAATTATTTTTAGACACGGTGAAAACGGCTAAGTCATTGTTGTTGTTGTTATTGTTACACCCTGATGAGGGGTCACTCGACGAGAATATAGAGTGACCCCCCTCAACAACGGAATAATAAGCAATGTGATGCTTACTATTGGCCTTAAGGAGCGAAAAAAATTCGGTGCTCAAGCGTTTTTTAGCTATACGAAGCAAGTTTTGACACGAGACTATCTTCTTGTGCGAAGGATAATGGTAGGAGAAGTTTGAGGCGCCGGAGAAGTATTGGAGGGCTGCGTGAAGGTCTTTAACGGCTCGCATGAATTCGAGTACTTCTTCGCGGCTATGATGGTTAAAGAGTGATGTGTTGGGGCATATATCGGAGGTTTCGTAATCCCATGACATGATCACTCTCATTGATGCTTCCATGGTTTCCTCCATGATTGTATTGCATGTATTGTAAAGTTATTGTTAATGTATGGTTTGTTTGTGGGAGAAGTTCTTTTTTTAAGGTAATTAATTAATAAGTTTATGATATGAACGAACAACAATGATAAACTATGAGTATCATGAGGTTTGATGATCTAAAATGGATTTTGTTCTTTGGAAGATGGATTAAGGGACAAAGATAAGGCAGAGGAGCACGTAGAATTAGGAATAAATGATGGAGATGAGAATTTTAAGGATGAAAATGAAAAGTTTATATGAATTTGACTATTTTGTAATGAACCTTTATATTACGGAAAAAAAAGGCCAATAATAATATGTTTTTTTTTTTATTTTTTTACATCAACATATCAAGCCATTCCTATATTATTGCATTTATATAAAATAATAAATCATGTAAAAATCACAAAATATATCAAAGTTGAGATATAAGTGTAAGCCTGAGAGTTTCATAGTATGAGAAACACAACCCTCTCCCCAATATAATTATTTTTGAGCTATATTATTAACATATATATTGTATAAAAAAAACATATAAGTAAATAAGTTAAGAATATACTTTTAACTAGACTAGGGGTTAAAAGTTAACTTTTGGCTATCTCAGCTCTATCAAACGTAAGTATTTGTGAAATAGATACGATACCAGTATAAATTAGAGAGAATTTGTATAATTCATTCTATGTAGCCAACGTAGATGTAAAAAGGTTAAATATATTCCCTTTAAAAAAAAAGGATAAAATTATTATTATGTTTATTTTGGTTTAACAGAAATGTAATGAATAGTTAGGGGATGTAGCTCAGATGGTAGAGCGCTCGCTTAGCATGCGAGAGGTACGGGGATCGATACCCCGCATCTCCATTTTATTTTATAAAATGTTCCTAATTTACTTTTATTTTATTAAAGTTGTATGAAATAACTGAAATGACCGCATAGCGCAGTGGATTAGCGCGTTTGACTTCGGATCAAAAGGTCGTGGGTTCGACTCCCACTGTGGTCGTTATTTTTCATGCCTTTTTTTAAAAGCTATTTCGACTGATTTAATTATTCCATACATTTTTTTAAATTACATAACTTGTTTAAACAAGTTTTTCTGATAACTTTGTAATGTTAAATGATAGCTTAAGTATTCCTATGATATTAGTCACTTTAATAACTGAAATGACCGCATAGCGCAGTGGATTAGCGCGTTTGACTTCGGATCAAAAGGTCGTGGGTTCGACTCCCACTGTGGTCGTTATTTTTCATGCCTTTTTTTTAAAAGCTATTTCGACTGATTTAATTATTCCATACATTTTTTAAAATTACATAACTTATTTAAACAAGTTTTTCTGGTAACTTTGTAATGTTAAATGATAGCTTAAGTGTTCCTATGATATTAGTCACTTTAATACCCTTTTGTTGTAAATCTTATAGTCGGAGTATCGTGTATAAAGTATGAATAGCTCTACACTCTTAAATAGCCTTCTTCAAATCCATCGAAACTGAATTGTCATACCAAGTTTTTGATATTCAATCTCTTCTCTCTACCACTCTACTCGGGTTTAGCTAGAATTTTTGAAAGGAAAACATATCTCATCTCTTTAAAGTAAATTTAAGAGTTTATTCTCACGTTATCCAACTTACATTCATATGGAGTGAATACAATTCATTCTAACGAATACCTCTCGTCAAACAATAAAAACGAATATACCTAACAAACATGTAAACAACAATGTATAGGTTTTTGAAAGAAGCGAGCGAACCCTTAAATTACACGACTTAAGTAGGCCTCTAGTGATTGACTAATATGACTATCAAATTGCCATTCATTTTTTATAAGGAATAATATTAAAATGAATACCATTAGATCTTAATCACTAATGTAATTAGAATAGCGCATTAGGCTGAAGCACCAGATCCTTAAACTACAACTCATTATTGAAATAAAATGACATTCTTAAGAATATTGCTCCCAAGAGCTTCATCTCCTCTTTCAAACTCAGCTCTTAATCTCTCTCTTAAACTCCAATCTTACCTCGCTAATCACTCTCTCGGCGGGCCACTCCGAATCGTGGGGCCCACATCCACTTATCCACCACAGTCGAAAATGCCACGGCCACTAAAGTTGGAGGAGATATTGAGATCTCACCGGAAAAGTCGCCGGCGACGGAGCTCCCAGCGAGTCTCCGGCGAGAGTTGATGCCAGGACACGTGGCGCTGATATTGGATGGGAATAGAAGATGGGCTGAGGTAAGAGGACTTGGATCTGATGCAGGGCATGATGCTGGGCTTAAGACTTTGCTACAAGTAATGGGCCTCTGTGCTAAATGGGGTATCAAAGTTGCCACTTTTTTCTTGTTTTCGTCTGAAAATTGGCGTCGACCCAAAGTTAGTGCTTTTCTCTTTTTATTACCCTTTTTCTTTTCTCATTCATTTTGTTGATTATGTTAATCCAATATTTATTTTTATCATTAAAATGTTCATACAATATTTCAATGCTACATTATGATGATACAATTATAAAAAAGTGTGTCTTTGCGCGTATTTAATTTTGAACTTAATAAGAAGTATAAAGTACTCCATACCATATAATATTTAACATTAAGGTTAGTAAAGTGACTAATACCATAAGAATACTTAAACTATCATTCATCATTACAAAGTTACAAGAAAAACTTGTACAAGTATAAATGAGGTGTACAAAAGAACTAAATTGAATTCATATCTTGTTTTAGAAATCAGTGTTTCTAAAATTGTGAGTTTTTGACCTTTATTTTGGGCCTCAAAAGGGTACAAGGTTGAATTATTTAATAACAGGGATTTGAACTTGGATAGTTGCTTGTATCAATAGTGTATTTATGCTTCGAAATCATGGAAAGATTGAATTATTTCGTCATATTTTCATCTGAAAGGATTTGCTAATCTAATAAAGGTACTACTTTACTTTCTTTGTAGATTAGTGTTGAAAAGGTACCTAGTAACTCTTTCAACAATTTTCTAATAATGGACATATATTGTACATCTTTTAAGCTACTCCTGTCTAACTATTGTCCTAAAAACTTGATTAAGAGAAATCAAATGAATTTTTATGTTGGCTGACAAAATTCCTAGACATAATTAAAAAGAAACTCTGTTATGACTTTTAAAGATCTGATATGGTGCATAAAACATAATCTTGGACTTCCTTGCCAGATGTTTAAACAGTAAATTTCCTTCACTTGCAGTGATTAAAACTCCAAACACGAGCATTTTAAGGCTAATTGTGTACTGAGCATCAAAAAACATGTGTTGCAGGCAGAAATCGAGTTTGTGATGTGGCGGTTCCATAAGATGTTGGTGGATGAACTCGAGAATATCATTAGGTTAGTACCTTTTGTAATATGAATATACAACTCTATGATATAATATGTCTTTCAGTTGATTAATAAATCCAGACATTTAATTTCATGTATCAATTCATCATATTGCATTTTAGCTTATCACATAAGATTTTGATGTTTAAAGATCAACAGGCAAGGAATAAGAATCTCCACAATTGGAGACACGTCTTTGCTCCCTGTCTCCTTACAGGAGTGATAGAACACACAAAAGAAGCGACGAAAGACAACACCAAAACACATGTAATTTTTGCTGTTAGTTACAGTGGGAAGAACGACATCGTGCAAGCATGCCAAAACATCAGTAAAAAAGTTAGAGAAGGGCTGATCGAGCCCAATGATGTGTCTGAAACTCTTATCGAGCAGGAGCTAGAGACTAAGATAACGAGTACTCCTTGCCCTGATTTACTCATTCGAACAAGTGGTGAGCTTCGGGTCAGTAACTTCTTGCTCTGGCAACTTGCCTATTCTGAACTCTACTTTACTAAAACACTGTGGCCTGAATTCGGAGAATCAGAGTTTATAACAGCATTAGAGTCTTATCAGACAAGAGGGAGACGGTTTGGAGGGCGATTATGAAGCATTGATGTATGTTGTACCTTTAACCTTCAGTTTTTTTTTTTTTTTTTTTTTTTTTTTTTTTTTTTTTTTTTTTTTTTCCGGATAACTTTAACCTTCAGTTTAGTTAGCCAAAATGTTTGATGAGGATATGTTATTTTTATGTATTTGTTGAGTTTTGAACTTTTTGGCATTCAGAATGTAGTTTTTAGTGTGCATGAAAGTTTTGAACTGTTGTTTAATTAAGAGGAGAAACCATTTTACAGCAGGGAACCTGTGAGTTTATTGGATCTGGTGACATGCATTTTAGCTCATTGAATTCGAAGAATTTTTTATTTTTTTTCTCTTCTCTAAATCAAGCATCTAACGATTAACAAAAATAAAATGCTTTATGCAATCGAAGGGATGAATCAGAAGAAGTAGGAACAAAAGGGGAAAAAAACTCATCATAAGAAAAGAGTCACTTTTGCTACTTGGAAAATGAATCATCATACAAAGTGTACAACATTCAATCTCTTCTCTCTATTCGAGTTTGAAAAATATTTTTGAAAAGGAAATATACATCCATCTATTAGAGTGGATTCAAGAGTCTACTCTCACGTTTTCTCTTCAAAGTATCTTTATATTTCTCCAACTTTATATAAAATGTCTATAATAATTGATCTTACAGAGAATAAACTATGCATTCAATTCACACTTACTAGACAAATAAGACAATAATCAACACCACCTTTGTTACCTTTCCTAAATTTTACAACTTGGCTTACTAGAAGACCACTTAAAACTAGCTTCCTCCTCCCTTTTACAAAGATAATTCAACTTGTCAACTTCCTCATATTTAACATAGTAACAAATTAACAATAATCTAAGAAATTTCATGAGTCCTTATCCTAGATAATAATAAATAAGATGGAGGGTCAATTTATTCTGTTAAACAACTAACAAAGTAACAAGTAGCCCATGATATAAGTTACACCTTAACCTAAGGTTGAAAAAAAAAGGTTCAACTCTTGAGTCCCTTCAAAGAGCAAAAAAAAGTTAGAAATAAAAGCTTTTTATCCACCTTGCAATTTGGGTTCCACACCTTACTACCTTCCAAAGCAATACGTCCACTCTCCTAAATATACCAATACCATAATCTTAAAAAGCTCAAAAATGAAAAATGAAAAATAAAAATAAAGCAAAGTCACATTACATGTTTCATATAAATATTCATAACATATACATCCCATAACATAATTCCCCACCCCAGCAAGATCTATTGTATAGTGCTACTTTCCTATTATTCCTACCAAGAGAAGCAAATCAACTTATACACTATGTCCTCCTCGACCTGCATATCAAGCAATCCTATGTCCAAACCCAAAACCAATTCCCGGTTTTCGAAACCGATGGATTCTAATGGTGGTGTAACGGTGGTTGATAGCAAATCATGCAGGCAGTTGTACTTGAGAACCGCCTACACGTTTTCGAGGCCGGATGAGAAAAAAGAGAGTTATGGGAATATTGAGAAGGCTAAGAAGTGCTTAAGCAGGGTTAAAGACAGAGTTACTCTGGTTTATAAAAGAGATTATAATGACAAAAGTTACAAGGTTATGATTAGAAATAATAAGGGTAGTAGTATGGTGATATATAGAAAGGTAAAGGAATTTTCTTATGCTTCTTTCTTGCCTATGATCCGTAGGATGCTTTCTTGTACTGCAAAAGTTGATGTTTCTGAGCATTAATAGCTTTCTTTTCCTAATCATACATAGTTGTATACCTTAATAAAAATCATCTTTGATGAATACGAATATGATGATATATACATACTCTTGTTATATTTTTGTTTGTTATAATAGATGATATATACTTGTATATTTTTATCACACTTATTGTGATTTTATTTTTCATTCTCTCTTTTTCCTCGTTGTATGTACATACAATCTCCTAGTATAAATGAGAAGATTGTGTTTAATTAGCCAAAATTGATTATTAGTTCTGTAATATTCCAAATAAAGTCTTGTTATAGGGGATCTTTGGACGGTTGTACATATGTATGGCAAATAAATTGGAACGAAACAAGCATATGACACGTGAAACTCTTAGATTTCTCCTTGCTTTGGCCTCGTGAATTCAATCATACAAAATATGTATGTCGTTGCAAAACTCTGATGTTGAATGTTGATACAACATGCAAGGCATCTCAAGCTAAAATCTAAAAATGTTTGCATGGAAAGCTGGAAAAGTGGTGTTGGATATAAATTAAAGTAGGTCACTTTAATTTGTAATAAGGAATTACGGGTTGCTAACTTCATCCCTCATTTATACAGCTCATAGTAAAATTGTACTCTACTTTGTGACTCACTCAAAGTGATGAAATTACAAATACGAGTATGTAAAGAGTTTCTAACTGTTTTATTATTCAAAAATTACTCCAGATTTGAATATTACGTATCATGTGTATAGGATAATCGACTTAACGATAAGTAAAAATAATTATCTACTTTGTACATAAATTTAATAATAAACTCCATAAAAAAAAAATTAAAAAAAAAAGAATTATTTTAGCACGTACACAATCTAAAAGTGCTTTAGTTAGCATAATATGGCCATATGGGTTAATCCTTCAAATTTTTAATAGACTACTCGCCAAACATGAATTATTGATACAACAAAATAAAAAAAGGTTGAACTTAAGATTTCAAAAAAATAAATATATAACAAGTTAAATGGATCAACACCCCTAGTGATTAACAATTAAAAAGGATCAGATTAATGTCGACACATTAAATGAGTCAGGTTAGTGTTAAGAGATTGTTAATTAAGTGATACAAACACAATTTTGATACTTGATAGCTCTAGTTTAGATTATGATGTAGTTTAAAAATGACATTCTTAAATTCTTTTGTCCTATGTGCCCAATACATACATGTTAAAAAATAATAAATCAAAATTTCTGATTCCACAAAAAAGATGAAAAATTGGTGTTATATGGGAAACTAAAATGAACCATTGAATTAGAAAGGCTAAATCAAATGTATGGTTGTGACTTTGTGAGTGGGAATGAGTGTGCGTTTGTTTGCTGACTCATTCCACTACATACATAAGGGGAGTGAATGAATACGATTACTGTTGCTACGTTAGGCTTCCACTCGTTTTAAGCCCCACTCAAAATCTACGATGTACATTATAGGTTCCTTAAAAGTTTGGTCCTTTAAAAGTGCTGATTTCAAAGCGTTGATTACAAAAAAGATTAGCATGCGTTTCACAACTTATTCCTCATTTTCCATTCGATTTGGACTTGAAACATAGATTAAGGGTGACAATTTAGGTCAATAGGTCAAATTTGAGTTAGATTTTGGGTTATGCACTAATGCTTAATAACTATCAGAAACATGTAGAATTTAGAGGGCGTTTGGTTTGTGTATTTTTTTTGGTTTGAAAACGGATTCAATTAAATTGATATTGTTATTGTGTGTTTGGTTTGAAAGTATTGTAACTATTACCATTACCTAAGGGTATTGGTTACCCCTCATTTGTTATCTCTCAAAAATTTGGGGTAACAAATACCCTTTCCCTCCTCTTAACAAATACCCTTTCCATGGTTAAACCAAACAAATGAAAAAGCTAAATGATTCCTTTCCCCCTCTTATTTGTTTCCTTTCCACTCCGTTTCCATTTTCCGAACCAAATGTCCCCTTAATATTATTACAAAATAATGTGATATGTGGGTCCAATTGAGTTGACTTTAGGTTGTTCGAGTTCAAATTTCTCTCAATAACTACTTCAGATTTAAGTTAGATTATATGGTAGGATCAAAGATTATTAGATCAACACAAAAATAGATAATCGATTGATTGCGTGCTTGTACTCTCACAATTGGTGCATACCCTTAAGACCAAAAATCACGCAATTATGTATCATCATGTAGAGGCAATAGAGAAGCAATCATTGGTGTTCATTTGGTTATGTGAATTTGTGATGGCTTGTAGTTTATGATTTCTTGATTGAGACTATTTGAAGGCACTCGTACTACTCCTCAATCACCACAAATAATTCTAGCTAATAATGTGTGGAAACTAACGAATTTGGTGAATCTAAAGATGACATAAAGTTATTAGGCAAAAGTCTGAAAGAAGAGAGGACATAGACAAAAAATATAGCCACTTAAGTATTATTTCTCATTTCTATTTTACTCAATTGAGCCACCAGCGTTAATAGGAGGAAAACCCATTGCTGTAGATAAGGCTCTAAATTAAAAGTCATATTTGCCTTTCTCACACATTATTGGAAAGAATGTGAAAAGTACGATACGAAGTATGATTCTGTTGATAAAAGTATGAAAATGAAAATATGAGCTGAATATTGCTTGGTGAATAAAGAAATCTTCACTACCTATCTTCACTGCTTTGAGAACGTATAAAAATGAAAAAATGAGCTCGTCTTTGTAATAAAATGAATGGATGATTTATAAAGTTTAAGCAATATGTGAAATAGTAGAGCATAACACATCCTTAGTCTTTAGGAATAGTGACGAAACTTAATAAGGAGTATTGCGTATTATATCTAGCCAATTTTCCACATATACATTGGTCAATGCTATAGCAAAAGGTCAAATAACAGCTATCTTGTGTAATTGTTATAGACAACACCGGCTTATTATCATAGTATATTAATCTCCAGCCATGTCAAATTTCAATCTTGATGTCTTTCTTAATATTTATCCTAGCAGGCCTTAGTAGCCGGCTGCTGGCCTTGTTCCTGTCCTGCCAAGTTGAATTCTACAATATGCATATAAACGTAGATAAGCCAATAACCAATGAAGTTACATACTTACACGTACGGTAGGTGAGTCAATGTGTGCAACAAAAACAACGTGAGGCCTTCACCAGTTCACCAGAATTGCATACCTCCCAAACTAGCTGATCTCAATCAATGTTGAATGTCTCGCTTGTATATATATGCGTAAATGTTGTAACACTTGTTGGATAATAATTGTCATTTGTTTAGTTTGTACGTACATTCTTTTGCCTTGATCGATCTCCTTAGAAATATTTCCATCTACATTATATAGCCCAAATTGAAGACATACAGAAGATCTAAAAAGCAGCTAATAACAATCAAAACTTGATTCATTAGCCTCGACTAGCAGAATTTGCAGGTAAAAGTGCGCTTGCATGATCTGTAAACTATAGAATATTCGATTGCATTACATATTGATGTTCATTGTTTTGAAAAAAAAAATTGTTCATTGATCAAAAATATAAAAATGTCTTTCAATCTTCTGGATCAGATTTAACAATTTTCCGATGAGGAACAGCAGCAAGTTAGACGAAGCTAGCAAGTGTAAGGATGATCTTTAGGTTTCTTTAATAGCATCAGTAAAAGAGATTCGTCGTGTGGCTGACATCAACCAAATGAGGTTACAACAGTTAGAACTGGCAGTTGCAAATTTAACCACCATTTGCAGCGCAATTAGACATGATATTGACAAGCGCACATTAGGGCGCGCTTTAAGGCATATAAATGGGTGATTTTGGATGTATTTAGGCCCGTTTTGGTCGTTTATTGCCTTGTTACACTCGTTTCCTTCATATTACGTGCTTCACGGGTTTCGGTCTGTTTTTGGTGTGTTAACAGGTATAGTTGACCAAGTTATGTCGAGTCCCGAACCATTGGTGCGTAATCAGGCTATTATCGATCCTAGTCCACCAAGCTAAGGCTTTGCTGCGGTTCTCAAGGCCTTGAAAGGCAAGTTAAGTAGCAGGCAAGGCAGAACAGTTCACAAATATGACACCTGTTCACTATTTTGCTCACAACTTTCGGTATACAAATGATAATGGAGTGATTCCAATTTCATTGGAAAGTAGACTTGAAGAGCTTTCCAACGATATATTGCACGCCTCAAACGGAGCTCTGGATAAGAAGTTGGGACTGTTTTAAGAAGACCAAAGTGCCTGCAACCTTCCTGCCTATGCTGCACGGCCGTGCCAGATTCAGCACGGCCGTGCCAGATTCAGCACGGCCGTGCCATGCATTAGCACGGCCGTGCCAAGCCAATTTTCAGCACGACCGTGCCAGATTCAGCACGGCCGTGCCAGGCATTAGCACGACCGTGCCAAATTCAGCACGGTCGTGCCATAATTGAAGATATTGCGGATCAGCTACTGCCATGCTTGCACGGCCGTGCCACTTCCAGCACGGCCGTGCCGATTCACGAAGGGCAGCCTGCGATTTACTTTCCGATTTAAAACATATATATATAGCCCGATTGTAAGGGTTAAGGGACAGTTTTAGAGATAGTTTTGAGAGCCTTTGTAGAGAGTTATTGGAGAACGTTCTTAGTATTAGAGATTCATTAGTTTTCTTAAATATTTCTAGAGATTTTAGTTTTCTTGGATTGATTTGAAGCAAGATTTGCGAAGATTCTTTGTATTATTCATTGACGACGGATATCAAAGTTCTGAACTTTTCCATTGATTCGCATCAATACAATTGGTATTATTCATTCTTGTTTATTAATCAAGCTTTATTATTCCTTAATCAGAATTCATGTTTATATCTATTATGCTTTTGGAATTCATTATTGCTTTGATTATGAATATGTGTGAGTAGTCTCCTAGCTAGGGTTTCGGGATGAAACCCGGCCTAGGTAATCTATGTAATTGAGGATTGATTTTGATAAACGGATTGTGATTAAATTGATTATATGCGATTGCATGTTAATTCATTATAATAGGAGTAGCTAACCTAGAATCTTGAATTTGATTGCATGATATCCTTGATTTGAACAAGAGATTGTGAATTGAGTATTTCATTATTGAATGTGGTTTGATTATG